TTCAGGAATTGTCTTTGCTTATCAACAGCCCAACAAGACACAGAACAGTATGGTGTTTGAGTGCGGGTCCCATATGAGACATGTTGGATTAAAATATTCACAGTTCCTTAGATGACACTTCCTTAGGAACATTAGCTGTATATACGTGTCTTTCGAAATAGTGTTTTGTCACTGACATTGTTTTAGCACACAAGATCTAATTTTTTCTTAGACAATAATTTTCAACTTTATGTCACTTATCTGTCAGACGCTGTTTGCAATCCATAAAACCATATAGGAACTAGAGTGGTACTTAATAGAGCGCATACCTCCGCCACACAGTGTGATTCATCCCTCAAAATATATGAAAATGTGTCCGTGTGTTCGTCGTTATAAACGGACATGGACCAAAAATGGACATAATATTCTACATATGTCCACCAAGTTTAATAAAAATCCGATTATTTTTGACTGCCTTATAGAGCAAAAATAGTGTGAAAAATCGCCCCCATGTTAACAGATAGGTATTTTTTTTTGGATTTTCGTGACCTTGCTCTGACCTTGACCTTTCAAAAGATAATCACTTCTAAGTTGGGTCATAGTCCAAATGTATACCAACTTTCGTTCAAATCCATTCAACCGTTTCGATAAATATTGCTGACAAACATACAAACAAAGACATACACTCAGGGGTGAATACATAACCTCCGTCCACCTTCAGTGGAAGAGGTAACAACTGTTTTTCTCGGATGGAGAATTAAGTGTCCTCCTGGATAGCTCCAAAACTCCAGGAGAAACTCTAGACCTCGTGAACACCTGTGCTTATACCACCTATCTTCCACCCACTGAATCTTCAAAATCCAAATCCCAACCCCAAGTGTACTAGCTGCCTAGCCGGCACTGTTCATAGTACAGAATCTGCCCTAACCACCCCACTCCCAACGAATTAGAACAGCATAAGTAGCTATAGCACTTCATGAAATGTTCTATTGGAGGGTCGCTGGAATGATATATGCATATATCTTTGGCAGAATCACGAAACCCTTAAACTACAAAAACAACATTTGCAAAACACGGAACATCTCTTTCATATTTTTACTCATATCTCTTTTAACTATTTGACATGAATTATATTGCAAAACTAAAGGTATTACTAAAAGTTTTTACCGAATATTTTGCTGTAGAGGTGTTTCTTGAAACTGTCTTGTATGAAACAATATTTGGTGCTTCGTATCCAATGTTGAAATTTAATCTTATAACTTTAGAGTGTAAAAAGAAAGAAAGAAAGAAATATATATATATGTGTGTGTGTGTTAACAGTGTTTGTTGTGTAGCTATAAAGAGTCTCCACTTTAATCTAAAAGCATGTAATGCACCACAAAAGAAAAGATTCTATTGAACTTGCTATGGAGTTAAAAGTGTACCAAATAAACCTACAGTGTAAACCATAAGAGTGTTGCTGATATTTTGTTCTAAAGGTGTTTTTCTTTCTGCTTTTCTCATGACGTTAAGAGCATAAAATTAAAATTATTTAATCAATGATAATTATTACAGATAATTCAAAAGGATATTTTTGTGATATGTTTTCTATGCAAGTTAAACGTATTTATCATACAAAATGTAGAACGAAGTGGTAAAATCAGAGTGATTTTCCATTTTGAAAATGTGTATACACTTCATCTTTTAATATTTGACTTGAATGTACAATTCACATGAATTAATGCTATGTTATTACATTTTTATACATAATTCACAAGGCTCAGTGTTAAAGGGTTTTTTTAACATGCAGTTTTATTATAAAAGGTTTTATCTTCATGTATAATGCGTGTTCTCTATATCAAAGGGTCTTACTACCTCCGCCACCGAAGGTTACGTTTTCGCCCCTGTGTGCGTGTGTGTCTGTCAGCAAGAGTTCTAGACAACGGCTGAATGGATTAGTTTTTCAAAGGTCAAGGTCACACCAGTGTCACGAAAATCCAAAACATCCCTATCTGGGACCGACTTTTCACACTATTTTTCTCTATAACTCAGTCAAAAATGATTCGATTTTAATTAAATTTGGTGGACATATATATAATATTATTCCTCATTATCCTGTCAAAAATGGTCCATGTCCGTTCAAAAATATGGACACATGGACTCATTTTCGTATTTTTTGAGGGCCGAATAAGATCAACGTTGCGTGGCTGAATTATGTGCTCTACTGAGTGTTTTGTTGTTGTTTTTTATTTTTAAAGGATATCGCTTATCTGGTTTCTTTAGTTTGTTATGAATTTCGCGCAAAGCTACACGAGGTTTATCTGCGCTAGCCGTTCCTAATTTAGCAGTGTAAAAAGGCAGCTAGTCATCACCACCCACCGCCAACTCTTGGGCTACTCTTTTACCAACGAATACTGGGATTGACTGTCATTATAATGCACCCACGGCTGTAAGAGCGAGCATGTTTGGTGTGACGGGGATTCGAACCCGCAGATTGCGAGTCGAGCGCCCTAATCACTTATCTGTCCTCTATAAGTGCTATGTTTGTTTGGCGCAATGACACATACTACAGATACAGACACATGGTTGGTTTGCAGTTCTCTTATTCACTCTTTGTATTGGCTTTAAAGTTAAGGCTAGGGACAGTAGAAAAAAAATAAGAGGGCATTAAGTATTTGAAGAAAACAACAACACGTGTTTCTTTCTCATTTTTTATATTAGAGAACTAGACATTTATTATTTAGCCAAAGTTACTAAAAAATATTCGCGTTTATGCACGTTAACAAACGTTTGTTCACGTAGAGGAAACAAATAACCAGTCCCGAACTGAGTTGACCTTATTCTTGTGTTGATCACACATTATCCATAGTCATTTCCCTTGGTGTTTCTACGTTTTTATGTGGCTGGTGCTGCAGAAGAATTCTAATATTCTTGTCCATTACTAATGGACTTTTATAGCCTCATCTTCTATAGGTGCGTAAATACTGAGAGCTCCGTTTTTCCTTTCTTAATGCGTTCTGGGAAAATTATACTGTATATTTATCGGGAGAGAGTATCTCCTTTGAAGGTCAGAAAGTTGATGTTTTCAATATTTAGTATCCCGATGGAATGCAATTGCCTTTGTTCTGGTGCACGCGTCTTATCTGAATCGATCTCGTGTTTTTGCTTTGTCAGATAAATAACGCATGGGCAGAGCTAGATATAAGGTTTTTAAATAATTTTTAAATTACAAATTTATTCTTTTTACAAAGTTTAAATTCATGTAACCTGTATAAGTAACGTTTAAAAAAGCGGAGGTTTATTCCAGTCTATGTGATTTCAAATACATATAACTAAAGTTAAGTCAAATTCATGAAAACTCTGCCAACGTTTGTTATCTAAGCTATAATTGTTGTGGCCTGCATAGTTTACCTGTTTACTAAACTCATAACACGTTATTACAGTTATATACGTCCTCTTACTAGAAACTATTTAGAATATCAAAGTAAAATGGCACTGCAAACACAAACACTCTCAAACAATATTGCAAATTAAAAATCATCAATTTTCTCAATAATTCAAGCTCAAATCATCAAATTTACTTCCATGACTACATTTTTTGAGGAAATTAAAACAATTTAAATAATTTCAGTTAACTTCATAAAATCCACATAGCAGTTGTTTTTGTACAAGATAAATAAATCACGAGAGTATACTTCATACATGTATGCATGCCTTACAGGAAGATAGATCTTATTACAAAGATTGCGATTGTCGAAAGTAGAGTTCTTTATATAAACATAGGCTTTTTCTAATTTACCGGGGATTAAGCAGTGAAACTAGATTGTTATACAAAATTTAACATACATATCTTTAATTTCTTTCAGACCAAATACCCACCATCTAAGTTATATTTGACACTTATTTACAACATATTTAGGGTTGATAAAATGTTATATTCAACTTATAAATAAACCAGTATTAAACTAAATAGGCTCACTGTGTTGTTTTGGATTCCCCTAAAACGAGCTAGTGCCAAGAATTCATGACTAGAGAGGGTTCAATATGGTACATTAAAACGGTTTTGGATATGCAAATCAGCAAGTCACGTGACAGCCACATCCGATATAAAGTTGTGGTGGAACGTTATATATCAGTACTACATTGTTTGGCGTGTCGTACGTAAGTAGAGCGATGACACCGAAAATTGATCACTTTTCGAAAGGGTATGTAACAGCAAAATATCCATACACTTAGGGCATAAAGATGTGTTTAAATAGGGAGCTTATAATTATTTTAAATGGCATTGGAAAAACAAAGAGTTATGGATCAACTTGGGAAACTAGAAGTATTTAGAAAGATAACTACAAAATGTCGTACCTCAGCAGTGGTGAACAAATTACGGCATCACTTAACAGGCAATCCACGAACGCAAACGTTAGCATCGAAAGCTATCCACGTGCCCTAGCCAACAATACTCAACATAATCAAGAAGATCTCCGTTTGGGAGAGCGATACAAGCCATGTGTACATAAGTTGCTTCCATACATGTCTGTTCAACGTCACGTACCTCAATTAGTTGGAGAATATAACGGGTATTCATGTTATTCCATTCGAAAACATACCTGTCAAATCTCCGGATGCAGTCCTTATGGATTTCTGTGCGATCGTGCTCTTGAAAGAGCGCTGGGAAACTGTCGTCTTCGTAGGACTATTGTAAAGAGCATGGTCGTCAGATATAATATCACCGAACGTGGCAACATGGATTGTAACGACGGCCCCCATTGGCACAGGAGTATGTCTGTGGACTTAGAACGTTAGAAACCGGGTGTCAATACCCGTGGTGGGCACAGCACAGACAGCCCATTATGTAGCTTTATGCTTAACTTCAAACAAACTGTAACGACGTTATGGTTGAGTTCAAGATATTGTTTTCATTGTCAACCTGGTATCAGATATGGTGACTCTTGGAATTAACGTTAATTGTGTGGTACAAAAGGAGATTTTTCGAACTCCACCTGCTGATGACCTATATATATATTAATATTACTTTTTTTTTTTAGCAGGAAGTTGTTCAAGAAGCAGAATCCAGTGTTTCAAGCTATTTGGGCGGATAACACCGACTTTGATGAGGTTTTGATATCACCAGTAATGGTACAAGATCACATGCCTGATAAAGTTATGGAGGCTCTAGAAAAGGTACATATTATATTGTTAAGTGTTCCTAAAGTTTTCCAGAACACGACATGTTTGCTTTAGAACAGTAAAAGCTCCAAGAATATAAGGAACCTTGAAAACATAACAACTTCATATAAACAAATATATCAAAGAGATTCTCCGAGCTAGTGGCACTGTTGATTAGTCAAATGAATTTGCGTATCATAAAGACGATTGACCTTCTAATCAAACAAATGTTTAAAGAATCTTTAACTGAATCAAGTTTTATCAACTCGTTAAGTCACGTGAAGTATTGTTAATTATGGAAGGATTGCAATCAATATTTGTGAAACGTTTAATTTTGAGCCAAATCTGTTTAAAACTATTTTTTTCCGTAAGACCCATGACCATTCTCATTTTAATCAATAACTTTTTATATTATTTCCTGTTCTTTATATATTATTCCTCGTTTCGGATTAGAAGTGAAATGAACATGAAATTATTCAATGCATTTCATTAGATCAAGGTAAGGTTCACTAAGTACTTTTCGTTGCTTTGAATGTTTTGATTGACTGTTCCAATAAATTTACTAAATATTGACTTCCGAGTTTTCAGCATTACAGAGTTGGGAAACGATTTAAAAAATATTTTTATTTCTATTCCTTGATTTCCAAGATGATATGAAATGCATTCTATGATAATTATTAATGAATATATTCAAAAGAAAACCAACATAAATGAGATGTAAACCAAGCAAACTTCAAAGTTTAAAACTATTGTACATCTTTTCATGAAGATATTATGAAAGCCATTATGATTATTTAATTTTTTTGTTCAATAAATATCTTCACAACACTTCTAATGTAAATACTGCTACTCTTAAAAGAAAATGTAATATTTTCAATGTAAAAATCTTTAAAAAAATATTGATTTTATTTCTTTTAAATATTTATGTCACTTCTGCACGAAGAAAACAAATTCACATTCATTGTAAGTTGACTATAAATTATGAATAGAGAAAGCTAACTTAATTCATAAAGAAGATAGTGTCCGTTAATAGAGTTAATAACAGATTTACCTGACCTTAAGTTTTGAATATCCAATAAAGGTAAACTTTATATTTGCTAAGAAAATAATTATAATAAAACTAATCCTTACTTTAATGTGGCAAGCTATATCAGATACGTCTAGACAAAAAACACAACTTCTAGAATGTCGACGTAGTTATTAAAAGAGCCTGTATTTGATAACGTTATCCATAATTTATTTACCTGAACGATAACAAGATAACTTTTCTTTGAAAATTCCGAAATATAGCAACAATTTTCTTTCTGTCACTCAGACTCAGAGGTAGGTAAGGGAGAGGGGCAGAGGGCAAACGCAGTATGAAAAATTAAGTTCAGTAAAAACAGATATGTGAAAAATAGACAAGAAAAAGAAATAAAGAAGGCTTAAAAAATCCACGATATACATTTTTATTTTTTGATTTTCATTCCGCTTTTGATATAATTCCAAAATGATTTCAACAAGATGGTTGATTTTCAGCCTGTCATAATTGTTTTTAAGTGAGCTTTTGATACAATATATTAATTTATCTAAATAATAAACACACTTAACCAACCAATTCAGTAGTATTTTTTACTTTTAATCTCAAATTCGATTGATGTTTACTTATTTGATACGTTTCTTTCTAATTAAGGTTAATAGTTTCCTGTTAAAAGATAACTCTAGGCTTGTGGTAATGTACTGAAAAATACTAAATGTTTAAATAAATGGCTGTCCTATTATTTTCAGAGTTGGTTTTTCATTTGGTTGTTCTGATAAGGTGTGACAGTAGGTGTTTTTGTATTTAACCGAATATCTAAATATTCCTTTTCTACTAAATGTTGGCAAAGAGCTACGATGCACAGTTTTTGCCTGTCGTATTTATTACTTTTCATAAAGCTCTGTGACATTTGTACCAATTATTTATATTGACCTCCTGTTTTTGTTTTTGTTTTCCTGAAGCTCCTGGTTAACACAGGACCTCCTAAACCACAGCGAACACTGACTGAGCTAGAACGAAGACAGCTTCTTACTCCCAGTGCGGATACGTTGGACACCGTAGCCGACCGTACTCCACCGCATCGTCTAGTGTTAGAAACAAGTTTCACAGACCTGAATCCAGAAAGCCTCACAGGAGCAGAAGAAGCTCCGACTGGACTAAGATGGGAATATAGTAGCGCCATTGCAGCCACTATGGAGAGTGGATACAACATGAGGCAGCTAAAGTCCTCACCTAGCGGTGTTCAACCAGGGAGCAATTTGGACGGGCACTTGAAAGTGGATCTTCTTCACGATGATTGGTTAGGCTTAGCGCCGCTTGCCTCTCCTGAAACGCTCTCTGATGTGTCCAGCATTTCGTCCAAAGGAAGCAGCCAACGTTTGAACAATGGTAACCACTTACAAAGATTGTCATGGGGTGGCATCAATCCACTGGAACCAATAGCTCAGTCCCCCGCTGTGCAGCGTCCCTTGCCAGACTCGTTAGGAGTGTATTACGTTCAGCCCCACGGACCAGACCATCAGTATTATGGTGTACTATACAGTGCTGATGAAACTAGTGGCAATGGTAATGTAGTCAGGGATACATCCACATCAAATTTGCTGGATAACAGCTACGGACAAGGGAATACTACACCATTGGGGCAGAAAGTAGTCACAGAGGTGACGGTGGAGATGCAACCTTTTTCACAATATCATCCCAACAACAGTGAAATTTCAAAAGAACATACTTTACATTTAAATCTTGAACCTACTTCTCAGGGAATCAAAGATAATATTACACAAAGTAGTAATTGTGCGCAAAACAATGGAGGTGAAAAGAATATAGATCGACAAAGCAAACGTGTGACCTTTGAACTCTGTAGTAGCCAAGACAGTCAAGACAGCACTAATGGAATGAATAACGATGAAGATTCCTTTGTGCCAAGTTACCCCGAATACAGTACACAGCAAGAGTATGGTAATCATGAATATATGTATCCCCGCTTTAGTTGTCCTGGCCACACCCCACTGCATTCTCCTACCCTTGAATACTCCATGTCAGATGCGTTTCTCACAAAAATGATTGAGAAAGAGACTATTCATCGGTCTTTCGAAGAAGCAGACATCTATCATCTAGAAGACACTGCTAACGTGTTTGAAGTTTCAACTCTTCCGGTCAAAGTCTTCCATAACCAACCTAGTTTCAGGCTGCAACCAACGAAGGAAGAGAACGAATCTCGTTTGCTTGAAACTCAGTCTCCCTCCAAGGTGTACAGGAAGCCGCCTACAGAAAGTAGCTTATGATTCTAGCAGTATCAGTAAAGTTCATAAAAACGAGATGACAAGGTGTTCCGACATTTACTAATATTCGTGATTAGCTAAAAGACAATAGCGAAGGGATTTTGATCCGATAGTTTAAACTGATTTTATTGAGTTTTTTACCCCTTTACACCTTCAAAACAAGATACAGGTGAAATAACTAAATTATCGTATTAGAGTAACACCTCAACAGACGATGTCAATCTGTTTTTGTTTTTTCGTTATACATCTCATATTTCAATATGTGTTATCTAAACACGACAACTAGCACCCTAAGATTGTATACTTAACCATGATGAAAACTTTTATTCTTCTTCGGCGAAATATCAAAACTATCTTTATCCTTTTTATGTAGCTTATAAAACGAGTATAACAATCTGAATCATGTTTCTTCTCCTTAACTGCACCATTAAAATTGTTGGTCAAAAGTTGAGTTCCAGGATCGGCCTGTGGTAGAAATTGTAGGGGTTGGATAAAAATGTTATATATGAAAAATAGGCAGTCAGTGTGTATTCGATGAAAGAATTTGTTGTCCCAAGGAGTAAGAGTTACTTTTGTGAGAGATTTTCACTGAAAAACAAAATAAATAAATAATGCGAGATAATCTTGATGTCGCTTTTATCTTCTAGAATTAATTGATAGTTACCATCGTTTTGAGCTGAAACTCCACTTTCTAGTGTCGTGATGTTTTGTATAAAGCAAAATAGTTTGCTTTCTGCTGCACCAGGCTATTTCGATATTGAAAGTATAATAACACAAAAACTTTCTATTTCATATCTCTTTTCGGTGATGTAAAAGTACTTTTTTTTTGCGAAAAATAAGAAAATATTATAAATAATATAAATTGTTTTTTCGCAAGCCTCTACACTTTTCGTTGGGAAATTACATTGTACTGACTTAAAAAAATTTATATGAAACATAGCCTAAATTAACTTGTACCATGTGTTAAGTGTATTAAACAATAAATAAAATATGGCTTCCATATCTAAAATTAAGTTAAACCTTTGGCAGTAGCGTAGAATTTGCCTTAACAATAAGTTTTAAGATTGACCTTTAAAAAGCAGTGACAGTGTATTTAAGTTACTTCATCTGTATTTTAGGACAAAGATCAAGAAAATATTTAACCATTAATCTCATTCTTTAGTAATTGTTTTGTTCGGAATAGACTTAACGGTTTGTAAGAAGAATGTTTTTGTTCTTTTATATTGTACCTTTCTCGTACACAAACCTATTAATGCATGTTCATAAATTCCAGTCTTACAATCTGAAATATTTTATAAATTAAAACATCGTTTTACGTCTTAAAGATTAAGAAGGATTGTATATTTGTATGCTCGAATTTAATTACTTTAAGCTTGTCTCGTTTAATGCAAAGATTATATGTTGTTATGTTTTACAGGACATCAAAAATATTACTCCATTGCTTTTCTCAGCAATCTTTTATAAAAAATTAAATAAAATGCGGATAAGTGAAAACTGCTGATTATTTGTAATGGCAGAAGGTTGAATATAAGTATGATATAAATGATCTGTATTGTATGTATGTATGTATTGGAGCTTTTAGCGGAAATTAATGTTTTAGTTAATTAATAATACCACTGAAGCAAAATGGAAAAAAAATGATTAAAACAACATAAATCATTAAAAATTAGGATACATTTTAACAAATACGCAGAACACTTCTAAAACACCCCCCTTTAGTGGCTTAGCGATAAGTGTGGAAGCTTATAACGGTAAAAACAGGGCTTCGATACCCGTGGTGGGTACAACACAGGTAGCGAATTGTGTAGCTTTATGTTTAAAAACAAGCAAACAAACAAAAACTTCTAAATATGTATTTTCTTACGGCTGTACAAAGTTATATTACATTTAACTTAGTTTGCTGCTTTACGGATAGTTAGTTCATTACACTAGTTAATCCTGAAACGACTCAATTTGACTAACCTGAAGACTAAACAGACATTACGTTGAATTTCGTAATTGGTGGTTAGTGTCGAAATTATAAAACTTTATTAGTTACGTGTGACGTGTCACAGTGGATTATTTCCTGTATTATATTGTAGTATTATTATCACGAATTTTAATGGATCTTGTTTGTTATCTAATATATTTAGGCTCTTTTTTTTGTAGATTCGTTTTTCTGTTAGATATGTTTTTCTAATATTTACACTATATTTCGATTCTTTTTATTTTGTTAAAATTTCGTAATTCACTGCTGTTTCCTGTTATTATATCTAATGTGAGATCAGGGATGTAAAAAACAAATAATTTTCTATTTTTTGTTGTGTGAAAAAATACCACTTAAGGGCCAAATAGTTGTTGCTATTTAGTGCCTACTCTCATTTGTCGTCATTTGAAAATAATTAAATAAGTGACTATAATTCATTTAAAATTATTTAGAAGATTTTAATTAAATGAAGATTCACGTTCTATCTAATTCTTACTATTTTGCAATCATTGAGAAAATTTTATTTTCTATATATTGATGGACATCGATAAATTTGAAGTGATTTATAAGTTGAAAGGTAGACAGAGATAGTAATTTGATTTTAGATATTAAACAATTCAAGTGGTAAACTAATAATTGATTTTCTATTGTACTATTTTCTTTATTTCTCTTATGTTTATGTTACTTTACCTGATGTATAAGGGACCACAACTGCTGTTCTTTTAATATCTATATGTCCGTGAATAATTTTCTCTTTTATTCTACAAATACGGCTACTGGTGTTATCTGATGAATGACGGAAAATCACAAATTACTAAATTTTGATTTGTGTTAGAAAACAAACACATTGAACCTGCAGCAAAATTATGAAGTAATCATTTGGAATAAAAATCAAACAAGCTGATGTACGAACTAGCTTAAGTCCGCGTAACTTATTATCATAATTTCAGTAATAAATGTTAGATATTCATACAATTTGAATAAAACATATGAATTTAACTGCTACACCTTTTGGCAATTTCAATTTCTTTCGTAGTCTTCATTTTTTTTTCGTAATGAAACCCAGAGTATTAATATACCAGTGCGTTTTATTCTTTTTGACTGTATTTTATTAACTCGTTTACCAATAAACTATTTGAGTTTACTTTTTTGCAGCAACAACATTATTCAATATATATATATAT